GGGTACTTTATTCTTTGATTTATCCTTTTTGTGAAACTCCTACTTCCAGCTCTCATGGCACTGCTTCGCCTAGCTCAATTCTTCCTTCCTCCTTCAACCAGGAGTGTCAGCTAGAAATCGGATCCCGGTTCTCTGCCCTGTGGGTTTTTCCTTTCCTATCACTTTCTTTCTTCCTTCTTCCCTCCCTCCCTCCCTCCCTCCCTCCCTCCCTCCCTCCCTCCCTCCTTTCTTCCTTTCTTTCTTCCTTTGTTGTTGTTTTGGTTTTTCAAGACAGGGTTTCTCTGTGTAGCTCTGGCTGTCATGGTACTCACTTTGTAGACCTGGCTGGCTGCGAGCTCACAGAGATCAGCCTGCCTCTGCCTCCTGAGTGCTATCTCTGCCCTGTTTTATAGTTACTCCTCCTAACAAGGATTTGTCTAACACCCATACAAACTTGTATCTATCCTAAGCTGTCTTTAACTTGGTGGGTCACATCTATTTAGCAGTCAAGCTTAATTCAGTAGCCACCCCCTCCAATTCCCCACACAGATGCCCTATCCATTGACATCCATCCTAAAAACGCAAGTAACAGTTTCTGCACTTACAAAGTCCCTGGTGCTGTGTTGCCTTCCCATTCTCCAGACATCAGCCACTCCAGGTCATTACTACTACATGGATTATTCCAATAGCCCCTTAGCCGACACTTCCAATCTCCCCACACTTTATCCAATACACGAAAAGAGCTGCCAGGAATCACCACTCCCAACTGCCCACTCAGAACTCCACAGAGTCTACCTACTGTCTCAAACCCAAACCTCTCAGCCAAGTTTTCCTAGGTAGTTATAGTACAAAGACACGTTTTAATTTTATCTACTAAGTAATTTTATCTTTAATATTCACAGCAAAATATAGCTGCTAAAATCCTTAATATAACTCTAATTTTCAAAAATCACCCCATTTCAAAACTCCCTAAGCATGCAATTTAACGGTTAAGAATATATTCACATTCACACACACACACACACACACACACACACACACACGTTCTAGATCTGGCTATGGTAGCACTGTCTGTAAACTCAGCACTTGGGAGGCTGAGGCAAGAGGTTTGCAAGTTGGAGATCAGCGTGGGGCTACAAAGTTAGTAATACTTAGTTTAAAGAAAAGAAATAAAAAGTCTTTTAGAGGTGAGTAGAAATGGAGTCAAAAAAGGGATTTTCAGCCTGGCATGGTGGTGCATGTCTTCAGTCCCAGAACTAGAGAGGCAGGCAGGTTTTTATGACTTCAAAGTGAACCTGGTCTACACAGAGCATTCTAGACCAGCCAGGACTGCATAGTGACACCCTGTCTCAAAAAAGGAAAATCAGGAGTTTTAGATTCTTCCTTCTACAACCTAGCATAAAGCTGCTTTGGTTTTTATTTGTTTGTTTTTGTTTGTTTTTGGCTTGAAATTCAACAGGAAGACCAAACTGACCTAGGATTCCCAGAGATTTGCCTGCCTCTGCCTCCCAAGCATTGGGATTAAAGGTGTAAGTCGCCATGTCTGGCTAAAGATGCTCCTCTTAGAATTAAAAAAAAAAAAAAAGTATGGATTCTGGAACTCTCTTGATTTGACGATGTTCTCTATAACTTATGAACTCAGTGACCAAGTCATTTAATCCATCACCTCTCTGATTTAATTATTATCAAATTATTTAATTTGACGATTACTACCAAATGAAACACAAGTGCATGGAACATAACAAATCGCCCTTGGTAAATATTGTTGAAGGGTTAAAAGGATGGCTCAGCAGTTAACAGAGTTTGTGAAGCAAGCATTGTGACCTGAGTCCCATGCCCAGGATTCACTGTGAAAGCAAAGAGCCCTGGAAGTTGGCTTCTGAGTTCCACACTTGTACTGCGGCATGTTCATGCCCACACTCACAGTCATTCACGCACTCTGTGAGTTCAAGGCCAGCCAGGGCTATGCAGCAAGATTCTGACACTGAATTCAAGGTGAACCTGAGCTACATAATGAGTACAAGCCAGCCAGGGCTATGTAGCAAGATTCTGACTAGAAAAACAAAAGAATAACAATGGTGATGTTTGAGTCAGCACTTTATGTTTAATGCTAAATATAAATCAATAAACTGCACAAATTTTCAGCACATAAATAAGATACAGACAATATCAAAATAATGCTTAGAGGACAAAGGGTACCCTTCCATAGAGTGCTACTCTACTCAGGGGTAGAAAGCTTGTCTAATATATATGAGGAACTTGGTTCCCAAGCACCACAAAATAACAACAATGTGCAAAGATATTGATAGCAGATGAAAAGCTAAAGTGTAAATGCTGGTAGTTATGAGCTCTCCACACTCCCACCATCACTACCCACCCCAAACAACAAGACACACAAACCAGTAACAAATTCATAACAAGTCAGATTTTTTTTTTTCCTACATTGAATTTTCAAAGCTGGGTTCAAAAAGAACCCAGTTCCTATTTTCTTACATTCCAATGTGTCCCACATGGGACGAAACCGGGGAAGGCTAGATTAAAAAAAAAAAAAAAAAAAAATGCCAGGTCTGGTGGCACGCATCTTTAATACCATTACTCAGGAGGCAGAGGCAAGTGGATCTCAGTGAGTTCAAGGCCAGCCTGGTCTACAGAGTGAGTTTCAGGATAGTCAGAGCTATATAGTGAGAGCCTGCCTTGAACAAAAATCAAACAACAACAACAACAAAAAGAAAAAAGTGTCCCTGGTACCTGAAACACAGCTCTTTTCACTACATCATACAGCATCTCAGCTGATTCCTTCCATGCCTCCTTAATCAGAAAATACAATTAACTAAATTCCATGAGCTCTCCACAAAACAACTGACTCTAAGCATGTGATAGGATTTATTTTTGTGTGTTCCAGAGAATACTTGTGTAGTTCTATTATAATTGGTTTTGTTCCAGAAAGCATCCTCCTTTTAATATACTTTCTAAAACTTAAGGTTCCCAAGAAGCATGATTGTACACACAATCCCAACACTCAGGAGCCTTGAGACAGAAAGATCAAACAAGTTCAAGGATACCCCTGGCAGATCTCTATGAATTTGAGGCTAACCTAGTATAATAATGGAGTTCCAGGCCAGCCAGATTTACACGGTAAGACCATGTTGACAGATGATAGACAGACAGACAGACAGACAAGGTAAGATGGATAAAAAAAATTCAAGGCTGGGTGGGGTGGTGGTGATGGTGCATGACTTTAACCCCAGCACTTGGGAGGCAAAAACAGGCAATCTGTGACTTCAAGGTCAGCCTGGTTTACAGAGCGAATGCCAGGACAGGCTCCAAAGCTACACAGAGAGACCCTATCTCAAAACACACATATATACACACACACACAATAATAATAATAATAATAATAATAAAATAAAGTTTACGGCTGGGCTACATAGTAAGCCTTTGTCTAAAATCTAAAAATTAAAAATAAATCTTATTTTTCTAGTTCTGTTTTCTTTTGGTGCAAACAATCAAACCCAGGGCCTCAAACAAGGTAGGTAAATATGTTTTAATCCTGAGCTACACCCCTGCCTTTACTAATTTCTTTTCATAAACTATGGTATGTGTGCTCACCAATGCAATCTCCTCCCCAACAATAATTAAGAGAACTACATGTCTCAGTTAAAAGTGTCATCTAGGTCCAGTAGTGATGGTGTACAAGTTTAATCCCAGCATTTGGTAGGCAGAGGCAGGCCGATCTCAGTGAGTTCAAGATCAGCCTAGTCTACAAAGCAAGTTCAGCCAGGACTACACAGAGAGAAACCCTGTCTCAAAAAACCAGGGGGAAAAATAGTACCATCTAGCCTAGGCTCACTAGTAGAAGCTAGAATCTGTTCCTAAAATAGAATCATAGACATGTGGAATCAGAAGGAACCTTGAAGGTCACCTTTCATTTTATAGAGGGAAATAGTACCCAGAAGGAGCCTGACCAAGGTTAAGTGTCTAGATAGAACCCACTTCCGAGAAATACACTATCTTTAGTAAAATAGCTTAGAAACTTAAGAAAGCAAAACAAAAAAACTAAGCAACATTTTTTAAATTAAGTCCATAATCAAGTCACTGATTCTAAAAGTACGGTAAAAAAGGAAACAAGGTGAATCCTTAAAATTTTCCTGTTTAAAATGTGTATGGATAGTTTGCCTGTGTGTATGTCTGTGCACTCCATGCATGTCATGCCCTCAGAAGCCTGAAGCAGATGTCAGGTTCCCTGGAACTGAGTTACAGACCATTGAGTGTTGCCATGTGGGTGCTGGGAATCCAACCCAGGTCTTCTAAAAGAAACAGTGCCCTTATTGGCTGAGTCATTCTCCAGCCCCTTTTCTTATTTTTCAAATAATTTATTACTGTAAGGTTTGGGTGTGTGAACATATGTGCATATACACGCACATGTGAAGGTCAGAGAATGACAACTTTATGCAGTTAGGTCTCTCCTCCCACATATACATGGGTTCTGAGTAGAGCACCACTGAGCTGTCTCACTTGCCTCCTCGCAGAAAAATCTAAAGTAAACATGTTGGGTCACCACCCCCATCTATGGTTGTAATAATTAGAAGGGAAAGCACAACTATAATAGCTGTATTACTGTACAACAAATGACATAGACATTTATGAGGAAGAAAACTTTATAATATCAAATCAAGCAAACAAACATAGTAACTACAGGAAAATGCCTTATTGACTCCCAATATAAAGGAAACCTTTCAATCAGTTGTTAATAAAAGTACAACAGCCAGGCATGGTGGAGATAGTGGCAGACAGGTCTCTGAGTTCAAGACCAGTCTTGCTCTGTAGAGATCAAGTTCCAGGATAGCCAGGGCTACACAGAGAAACCCTATCTAAAACACAAAGCAAGAGTACAAACTACATCCCCCACTCATGTTTAAGAGAACACATGGAAGTAGAATACTTCTCAAAGTTAGAGCTTGAAAAGGAATAATGATTGTGCTGTTTTTCTTCTTTCCTTGATGTAAAATTCTTTAACTTACCTGTAGGAATATGTTTTTCAGCTCATGAGGATCACCTCGCTTGGTTGTATGGACCTATAAGGGGGTGGAGTGGAGGAACTAGTTAATGTTTGCTAGAAACCACACAATCTCTTTATATTATAGTTTACATCTGCTAACAACGTGCTTATCTTTTCAAAGGATATCTAGTGCAAAACAACCCCATAGCTTAATTGCTGATAACACCTGTCAAACTAGACATCTATGGCTAACGGGTGAGGAAAATGGATGTGAGTAACCTAAGATACAGCAAATTGCAGACGACACTTCCTCTGAACTGGAAAGGGAAACCAAACAATATAATGGTTTGCTTTATTCCACATCTACTAGCTACACAGTAGCAACTACCAAGCTGTAAATCCAGAGAGCCTCAAGAGTGGAGCAACAGGAGATGTAAAACACCCAAATTAATACCCGGGCCTAGCAGCCTTTCTTATGGAAAGCAGTAACCGCACATCGTCATCTTGGCGACCCTTTTTCTCCATCCAACCTAGACCAAAGCTGCCACAAATACCAATACTTCCGACACCCTGCAACCTGCCATGCAAATGTCAACCAGTGCCCTGAGCTGCACTGAGGCCCCAAATGACAACACCCACCCCCTCCCCCACCGCGGATGCCCTGGGTATCTCGGGCTTTCCTGTCCACTTGTTCTCACTCCCTCTCCTATGCTTTCCAACTCTGTGCTGGCAATCCTATGTACCTACGGCAAAACACTACTCTTTTCCTCCTCCCAACCGTGGTCCTCATGAACCCCTCCAACTCACGATCCCTCCTCCTTCCCCTCCCCCAGCCGGGCATCCTCTTCTCTCCGGTCCAAGCCCCGCACAGCTCTCCACCCGCAATCTAGAGCCCCGGGACGCGCCGGCCAAGAACCAGGCAAAGAAAGCAACGGGAAAAAGCGAGGGGCTGCACTCGGGGCCCTTGGAACGTCTCTTATGCAATAAAAGCAGCAGCAGAGAGTTGGAGTCACCTTGACCGCCATGCTGTGCTCGGAAGCCGGGAACGAGCGAGTGAGCGAGCAGGGCCGAGCTGTCAGGGCGCGCGCGCGCCACGGCCCGGGGCCGCGTCCGCGCTCCCTCCTGTCGCGGCGCCGCGCCCGTCTATATGCAAATGAGCTTGAGCGCGGCGGTGCGCACCGAGAGGCCTCTGTCCTTTCATCTGCGGGGCAGCCCGGCTGTCGCTCCTCTCGCGGGGGACACCGGAGCTCCGGCCGCCGGGTCCCAGACGATGCGTGAACAGAGGCGCTGCTGGGCCAGCCCCAAGTCCCAAGGCCAGGCAGTGGGTGTGGCTTTGGGCAAAGGCTTCAGCCAAAGTCGGTTCCCTCTTGGGGCTTAAAGGAACACTTGGGGCCTGTATTGAGCAAGGTTTGGAAGCATCTCAGCCCTTGGACCATTAATAATGAGTTAATGACAACTACTGACAAATACTGACTGGGAAAAAAAAATTAAGAACTACCTACTTAGTTTTTTTGCGGGGCGAGGGAGTCTAAGTAAACATAACTTTAAAAATGTGCTCCTGCATTGACATTCCTTGGGGTACCCTTAATAGTTTATTGACTCCTTTCACTTTTTTAACCACACAAATCCTTTGTGCGATGTATATAGAAAACAACTTCGTTTGTCTCAGGGCTGGCACTATGCTGGCTCTCACTTCTACACCGAACACAAAATAATTCTTCATTTAATTCCCAGCTTTGCCTTAAGCCAAAATAATGTCTCTAAAAATTGTGTCTTGCCACTTAGATATCTGATAGCCAGGCGATTAGCTTAGTTCGCAAAGTGATTGCTTAACATGCAAGAAGTCCGGGTTCCATCCCCAGATCTACACAGTAATATAAGGTTGGTAGTATATGCCTGTAATGGCAGCACTTGGGAAATGAAGGCAGAATGATCACAATGTCATCTTAGGCTGCATAGAAGTAGAGACCAAGCTGAGGTGCCTAAGAAAAGAAAATCTAAAGGGAAAGAGAAGAATTAGGGAGAAGGAGGGAGGGAGAGAGGAAGGAAGGGAGCGATCCAAGCTGATAGATAGGTCAGTCTGAGGACCCTCAGAACCCATTAAGAATGGAAAGGTAGACAACTCCGTGTTTTCCACACTTGAGCTAGGCAGGTGTGCATATGCGCTCTAATAAATAAGACAAAATTTTAAAAATTAAATTATTAAAGAGAAGAAAGAAAGGATCCTATTAGGTCACATACTGACATTCACTCAAACATTTCCTGAAACCCTTCATGTTCTAGACATGTTCCTATTTGTAAAATGTGTATATAAATGTAAATATATACACACACACACATATATATATGTGTGTGTGTGTATATATACATGCATATACATACGCATACAAAGACAAAGGGTTTATTTATTGTAAGACCTTCTTTGACACCATTATCATAGACTGTTTCAAGTTATAAAACCAAATAGCAATCCTAAATACTGTATATATCCACCATGCTCAGAAATACTTAAGTGTTGCAGCATTATCCACTGGGTTGTCACAAGAGAATTTGTAACTAATTGAAGATGTCTGCTGTAGTAGTATATTGCCTGTATTCCTATCCCCTAGCTGTGGGCTTTGTGTGCTAGTTTTTAATATCTTTTGAGGCCAGGCAAGTGTAGAAATCCCTTTTTTTTTTTTTTTTTTTTATTCAAAACTGATCACTGATGCACTTAACCTGTTTTTTGGGTTTTTGTTTGTTTGTTTTTGTTTTGTTTTGTGGGTGGGAAACAAATGATGAGATTTTCACTGGTTCTTCTCATTATAGTGTTAAGATTAAGTCTACTTAACTCATAAAGTCGTATTCATGCCCTGAATACTTGTATCTATCAATAAATATTGTGATATTTGAAAGTATAATCAGGTAAAAGCCAGTTCTCCAGACACTTTGAGATTGTGTTTATCACAACCTCATTCACATGAGGTTTATCTTCTTTCTTAAATGAGGCATGCTCCTTTAAATTAAAAAAGAAAGAAAGAAAGAAAAGCAAAAGGTATAAGTAGTGAAGTAGTGATAGAAAACCAGGTTCCCACATGTGAGTGACTTTGGGCCCTTGTCTTATGCCATGCATAGAAACTTTCCTCAAAATGCATTTTTAAATGCATTTAAACCAAAGACCTGCAGCCATAAAACTCCCAGAAGAAAACACCTGGGAGGACGCTCACTGGCATTGCCTTTGGCAGTAATTTCTTGCCTACCAAAGCCAAGGCTCCGGTTACAATAGCAAACAATGTGGAGCTACATCAAACTAAAATGCTTCTCTGAGGCAGAGTAAAGAAAAAAAGAAAGAAAAAAGAAAGAAAGAAAGAAAGAAAAGAAAAGAAAAGAAAAGGGCAGCTTACAGGTTGGGGAAAATGTTTTCAAACTGTTAATATCCATGATTCGTTTTGAGAAAATTTACACAACCTGGTAGCAAATATATCCCAGTGAATGAAAGACTTGAATAGACATTGCTCTAAAAAGGGGTACCCACAAGGGGAGCTCAGGATCATTAGCCAAGGGAAAGACCAATAAACAGACATGGTGTAGAGATGGGGCATTCTTAGAATTTAGTGGCATCACAGGGCAGCGATACCACACGCCTTTAATGCTAGCACTTGGAAGGCAGAGGCAGGCGGATCTCTATGAGTTTGAGGCCAGCCTGGTTTATGCAGCTAGTTCCAGGAAAGCTAGGGCTGTTACACAGAGAAACCCTGTCTTGAAAAACAAAACAAAACAATATTCCTAAAGGTGTTAAAAATGTACATTGTAACTAAAATCGTGTATGTGTATAATTAAAAATGTTAATGTGTACTCTTCATCCCACTTTTGGTCATATACCCACAAGACAATAAAACTACCATGTCTTGACTGTAATTACTCTTCTGTGTGACAGATCACAGCAGTCCTGCAGAGGGGACCAGCCATGTCTTATATCCTGTTTAGTACCACTCCCAAACTGCTGAACACCCAGCCTGTAGTGGGTGTTCACCCTACCCTGTTTAATCTATTCTGTGGGAGTACTCTTGGATCTCTTTCACAATTTCCCTAGCTTTTGGTAACTGGTGTCATTACTATTATTATCGTTATTATTGCTGTTGTTTGGGTTTGGTTTAGGTGTTCCAAAACAGGGTTTCTCTATGTAGCCCTGGCTGCCCTGGAACTAGCTCTGTAGACCAGGCTGGCCTCAATCTCAGAGATCCTCTGCCTGGGATTAAAGTGCTGGGATTAAAGGCATGCACCACCATCAACTGGCTGGAATTATTGAAGGATTACCTAAAATTCACTTCAATGCATCTCTCTACTGAACCTGGGGAGATCTTTATTATTTAAATTAATGTTTAAGGCAAGAGAGACAGCTCAGCAGTTAACAGTGCCAGTTTGGGCAGATCACAACCAATTTTAATTCCAGTTCTAGCAAATCTGATGCCCTCTTTGGATTGCTGCTGGTGTGCAGCACACAAGCACACACATACACATATATACAAAAATAAAAATAACAGCAAATTGTAAAACAATGTTTGTTGCAGCATTATTCATAACAACCAAGATATATAGACAACCTAAGTGTCCATTGATGCATAAATGAATAAAGACAACTTGATACAAATGGCACTTGCGTTAATATTATTCATCCATTATGAAAGTAGGAGATAGGAAGTTAGTTCAACAACAAAGTGCTGGCCTAGTATACACAAATGCACCTCTCCAACACACACACACACACAGAGAGAGAGAGAGAGAGACAGAGACAGAGACAGAGAGACAGAGAGTACCAGATAGACTTGGTAGATGGTAACACATGGTAACATGCAAGAAGTAAAGATAGGAGGATTGGAAGTTCAAGACCAACCTAAACTATATAATGAAAGCCTTCCCCAAGCAAGCAAACAAATTAAAACCTATATTTGGTGATTTATACAAGTAGTCCCTAGCTCCCCAGGCCTGGGACGGCTGAGGCAGGAGGAATGACTCCAGTTTAAGGCAGCCTGGACTACAGAATGAAACCTTGTCTCAAACAAGATTTTAAAAATGAAATAAAAGACCCTGTTTGTACGTGAGAGCCTAAAAAAAAAAGGGGGGGAAGGAAAAAGAAATAAAAGAAGAAATCAGGCTAGGTATGATGGTGAGTGCCTCTAAGAGGCAGAGGCAGAGGCAGGAAGAACTCCGTGAGTTCTGGGCCAACCTGGTCTACATAGTAAGACTTGGTCCCAAAAAAATAGAAAAAAAGATCTTAAAGATAGAACATTAACAGTGGTTCCCTGGGTTGAGGCATGTGCAGCAAACAGAGAGCTCAAAGGATACAAAGAAGTAAAGGGTGCTGTGAACAACTTGGAAGAGCAAATGCACAATGTGCACGTTATAGGTAATCATAGTGCTCAGTCCCCAGAACCCACAATCTGTAACTTATAGTCTCAAAATTGCTAGTAACTCCAGCTCCAGGGAACCCAAAACTGGAAATAGCACAAATGCTCAAGTATGGTACATTTGCAGAATGAAATATTATTCAGAAATTGTAACAAAGAAGACAATTGTTGATCCAACAACATAGATGAAGGAAAGATATCATGTGATGAGGCGATAAAAGCTTTATACAGAATCGTATTGTACAAAAGAACTAACACTGAGTAATGTCATTTATGTAAGCCTCTAAGACAGCCAGAACTAAAGTACTGTGAAAAAAATCAAAGCTGCCATGTCCAGAAGAGAGCAATTGATGGGAAAGAGGCCTGACAGATGTAGCTGGAGTGATAATAGCAGTTTATGAATTGCTAGGGTTTGGGTACATTTTTCAAAGCTCATACAATATACACTTAAGTCTTACACACATCATTACAAATGTGCATAAAGTTTTCAAGAGAAAATAATTTGAACAAATATTGAATTATAACAGAAATTCTGTGAATTGTTATATCTTAAATTTTTTATTTATTTTTATTTATTTTTGAAACAGGTTGTGCTATATTGTCTTGGGTGACATGGAACACACTATGTAGACCAGGCTGACCTCAAACTCACCGAGATCCTCCTACCTCTACCTCCCAAGAGATGAAATTAAAGGCATGCACACCACATCTGGATTAAATTTATTTTGAAATATATCAAAGAAATAAGAAATATTTGTGGATGTATAGGGATGTAGATATATGGAGCATATCTAACTGATGGAGCAAATAGTTTACTGAAATATTTGTTTCAT